TTGAGGCCATGGCCCCCCGTGTGCAGAACGCACAGACGCCGTTGGCCAGCAGCTCACCGCGAATATCTGGCTGCGTGAACAGTGGGCCCGTGCGGGTTTACAACCTGATGAACTGTTCACGTTTACGTGCAGACTCAGGTGTTGCCCTTGGGGTGCGCCCGGCGGCGGCGAGAGTCACCTCTCCCGGCCTTTCCCCCGAGGCCTGAGGGCTGCTTATCGTTCCTACCAGGTGCGCGGCTGCCCGTAGGGGAGAGCCTGAAGCCCACACCCTCCGGGTATAGCCTCCGGCTTACCCCCCCCCCCCCGCCCCGCCCCGGGCCGGGAGCACCCGGGAGCCAACATCTGTAGCTTTGTAAAGCACAGGCCCTTGCGAATGCTTCCTGCTGAAGTGATCTCGAGGAAGAGGGCCTCGCCCCTTTCAGAAGTTCTTTCTTTCGCCCACGCAGGGCAAACACCACGGGAAGTTTTCTTGTTCAGTGCAGGGAGTTTTCTAAGTTAAAGCAGTGACCAGAGCTGTGGGAGCAGGTCACAGGACAGGGAGCTGAAGTGGCCCTTCGGGCCCACCCAAAGTGTGCAGGTTGGCAGGCTGGGTGCCCCTGGGCCACCCCTCCCTGGCCCAAGTGGGTGTGACCCACTCACGCGTAATCGATACAGACCTTTCATTTTCCTCCTGTTCTGTCTCACCTGCTCCCTGCCCACCCCGTGCGCCGCTTCTAGAAGCCAGAGGCCTGGAACCCATGGCAAAAACTGGAGGTCTTCGGATTTGACTTTGGCTGATTTATTAACCCCGCCCCAATCTACTGGAAGGTTTTAAAACACATGGTTAAGATTTGTACCCAGGAATGCTGCCTTATCTGGAGCGATGGGGGATGAATACCAAGTATCTCCAGACTTCCGTTCCTGCTTTATTGTATTTTTTAGGTTTTGTGTGTGAGGTTTGTGCTCGATGCTGGAACAAGCTCCAGAGCAGTCAGCAGAAACCACTTTTATTGCTGCTCGCCACATAGCATCTTGACGGGAGCAGGGTCTGGACGGCGTCTTGAGGGGCATTTTCCCTGTGGGTCTGAGGAATGGCCCCAGAGGAGCGGAATCTGCGTCTACCCGTGATTTCTTTTTGTGCTCATTTCTGACCGTGTACTCAGGCGACTTGGTTTATGAAAGCACTCAAAATGGAAACTAGGAAACACATGAGTGTTGCTGTCAGAGGGTTTAGAGGCTTCAGAATGATATTTTGTGCTCGGCACTTGCTGTGAAAATGTAGGAGGAAGATTTGAGGCTGGTGGGCCTCCTGGCCAGGGGTGATTTGGGGCATCCCTGGGACGGGCTTCTCTCTCTCTCAAGTCCTCATTTTTCTGTCATGAAGAAGCTCCTCCTTGAATTCACATCTAGATTTGAGAAGATTGACCTCATTGAGTGCGTTCCCTTAACAAGCTGGATGCACAGGGGGACGGATGACACAAACGAGCGAGTGACCTTCTGGAGGTCGTGGTCTCGTCTCTCTTCCTGGCCACACAAGATCTTAAAATTAGAGGAGGGTTTGGGTTGGCTGTTTTGTTTTCATCTGTGCAGATTCTTGGTTGGATTTAGAGTTTTATATCTAAACCTTAACTGAAAAGTCCTTGGACTTCTTGCTTTTATTTTAGGTTTTGTACCAGTTTTGCATTATTTCAGTTGGGTATTAAATAGTTTCAAAATTGGCAGTATATCGAGGAAAACCAGATGTGTGCACTCAAGAAAACAGTGCTTTTAGATCCAGGATGCCCTCAATAGGCTGCTCCAAATGCACACCCTCTACTCTTTTTCCTTGTCTGACAGTCATTGTAGGGAAACCCTGTGAGTGAAGGTGGGAACACCGCAGGTGCCTGCTTGGTGCCGCGGGTGCCTCTCGTGTGGCCTCTGGGTCTGGGCGGGGGGAGGGGGCGCATGCCCTGGTCAACTGCAGGCTGGTGGCTTGGGGAGGGGATGCTGCTGGCTGATGGCCTGAGAGCCCGCTGCATTCCTATTAGATTTTTCTATATTCCAGAGCCTGTTGGGAAGAGGCTGCACACATCAAATGAGTGGGAGGGAGCTGGAAACTCATCATCGAGACTTCCTGCTGGTTCTAGAGCAGGGGAGAGGCGGATGTGCTGGCCTCTCGTCCTCCCAACAGAGCAAGGATGGATCGTGTTCTTTCTGTGGGTTCTTCTGGGGTGCCACACTGATCCATGTGACAGTGGCTTGTGACCTCATTTTTGCTGCTCTGCATTTCAGATTTGATGTAAATAGGTTTTATTTTAACTTCACCAGTTTAAAATTAAGTCCAAATCTACACATTGTGTCTCAGCCTCCTGCATATTTCAAGAGGCTGCTTAGAGCTTTGAGGAGCTTTCAGACCCGTCTCACCTTCCAGAACTCCTCCTTCATTGGTCATCCTGTCCGCGGGATGACCACGGACTCCACTGTGTGGGTCCAGCACAGAGACTGCTGGGCCACGCGACCCAGGGTCCTCCTCAGCCCCGTGGTTGATGTTGTTTCGCGGATCCAGGTGAGAGATGGCGTCCCCACCCGCGTCCCCTCCCTCGTGAAGAAACTCCCTATCTGCACAGCGGTCTGATTTCTTCTGCCTGCGTTTTCTTCCTCCACAGCTGTAATTTAACAAAATGTTAATCTCACCTTCAGAGAGCTTTCCCAAATTTTGAGGACGACCTGAAAAGCATCCCGAATTGCTTTGTGTGCCGGTGCTGGAGCCCGGGTATTCGGGGTCGGCCTGCGATGGGGGGACGTGCCCCTCGGGGGGTGGAGTACAGCCGTGGGGTGAAGCCTGCAAGCCAGGCAAGGACGGGGCGGTGGCCCAGGTGTCGGTGGTGACGCCTTCCCAGGGTTGCAGGAGGTCACAGTGGGTGAGGCGGGCCTGGGACGTGCTCGGAGACCTGTGTCTCCGCTGCTGAGCTTTCTCCACAGCCAGCCCGGCTCCTGATGCTGCTGCTGCCCTTAGCGCTGCTCTAGTCTGAACGAACTTTCTGCCCACTGTAGGTGAAGCCATTCCCATCGAGAAGCTCGTCTCCCTGGGGGACTCTTGCTCTCCCCACCTGAAGAACGGCGCCCCCGTCTGGTCACGGCTCCCAGCTCTTCGCGTGGAGGCCCCCGGGGGAGGGTTTTCTCTGCAGGGTCTGGGATGTGAAGAAGGGCGAGGGCGCTGAGGGGCTGGAAGGCCTCTCCCGCCAGCCCCTCGTGCACATTGACTTTTTGACTTGTTCCCGAATCAGTTGCCAAAAGCAAACCAGTGTGGACACATTGAGGAAGTGTGGTGTTTGGGTTGAAATCTCAGGTGAAAACATTTTCCCGTTTTTATTTTCATTTGCCAGCCAGGCTGGTGAAGTGCCTGCCCTCGTCATAACGCGGCACATTCAGATTCCGAGCTTTCTGACGTTCTCGTTCTTAAGATGGAAGCAGCTGTGCAGGCCGTGTGTGGAGTCAGCTTACGGTGGTGCTGAAAGGAAGCAGCTCACCCTCAGGAAACCGTAACATGCCCCGTGTCACGGGCGGTCGTGGCTCACCGCCAAAACCAGAGGAAGGCAGAGCCTTCTCAGAAAACAGTTCCGGGATGGCGTGGCTTTCATTAAGGATAGTTGATGATTTGACCTTACATCAGCGCATTAAGGGATCTTGTACGGCGCGCCGTGGTGACAGAACCATGACTATGTTACCTAACATTTTCGCTCCCGTGGTTCCAAACGCTGCACGGTTTTTACATTTGAGCCAGGATCGAGCAAAAGCGTGCTCAGTGAGGGCATCCACGGCACCAGTGGACTGTTCCAGCCTCTCCTTCCCTTCACCCACCGAAAGGCAAACTCATGTGCTGTTTTGAGCACCCCTTCCCTTCCGTCTTTTCCCCATCCAGATCTTTCCTCGCTGTCGTGGGGCCGAGTTGCTGCCGTGGAGCACACTCTCCCCCGCACCGCAAACCTGCGCCCAGTGGGAGCGCCCCGCGCTTGATCCCGCCAGTTAGAGGAGAGGCTCTGCCCCTGGGGGAGTGGGGCCGGCCCCTGCCCGAGGCTGCCGTCCCGCGGGCCACGTGGGGGCTGGCTGCCTTCCTGTGGCCGCACTGGGTCTTACCGTATGGCTGGGAGAGGTCTGGTGCAGAGGAGGTCCGGGGAGTAATACAGGAGACGGGTTTTCGCCAGTTTTTCCAAACCTCTCTTGGGAGCACTCACTGGTACAAAGGGCTGATGATGGACAAGGAGCTGCTGTTGTCGAGTCAGCCCTTGGGGAGCGAGAAGCCGGCTCCTTGGAAGGAGACAGCCGAGGAAAGGCCAGCGCGCTGCGTGCATGCCTGTGGCTGCAGCGCCGGCTGTCCACATCCTCATGCACTCACGGTCTGGAGGTCCACGTCCAGCGTCGTCACCAGGCCGCTCCTCCCAGAGGCTCTAGGGCAGAGTCGTCTCCCGGCTGCCCCGGCCTCCAGACCTGCCCCATCCTTGGGTTTGCTTCGTAACTGCATTTGTCCACTATCAGAGGGCTCTGTCTCCCTGGCTCTCAAGCACTCAGGGGGCTGCCCGGAAGAGCTGGCGAAGGCGTCTGGCACGTGGGTTGGGGATGTGATGCCATCTCCTGTTCCCTCCGGGCTGCCCTCCCATGAACCTCAAACAGCAGAGATTTCCAGAAGGTCTTTGGTGTTTTGGTCTCTCTGTCCCACATCCCACTGTCTCCTCACCATCCTTCTCAGACACCCCTCGGCTGCGCCCCTGAGCTTTACTCTTTGAAAACTGGAGCTCTTTGGTCTTTTTCTTATGCGGCTTGAAAACCCATCGTTCTGTCCCGTGTGTGGCTGTTTGAGGGAGGGCACTTGGGGATGCAGCAGAACAGCTCGGTCATGCTGTACACATTCGCACGGCAGACCCCACGATGTGGAGGGTGGGCCTCGGCCGCCTCTCTGGGTCCGTGCAGCCACAGTAGAACAGCGCTTACCCCTGGCCCAGCGAGGCTGTCCGTGCTGACCGGAGTCTGCTTTGTCTCTCCAGGTGCTGCAGGGCGCCCAGCTGATAGCCGTGGCCTCTTCCGACCCCACTGCTGGGGGCGTGGACGGCTCACCTCTCCAGGGCAGCGACATCCAGGTCCAGTACGTCCAGCTGGCTCCGGTGACTGACCACACCACTGCGGCTCAGGTGGGTCCCCCCTTCTGGAAGTGGACACCCTGTCTGTGGACAAGTCCTGGGGCTTCTGTAGGTGTGCACGCAGCTTGGGTGATTCTGCTTCTGCTCTTCTCCCACGAGGAGGGTAAACTGTCATTGAAGGGCACATGATGTGGATGGAGGCACTGATTTTTGTAATGCCTGACGATGTGAGGCTGGAAGTTAGGTCCCGGCCCAGATGCCAGTGTTAAGCCAATTCTTGAGATATACGGTGTCTTGTCTTCTCTATAAATTCAGAGGCAAGAATTAATTGTCTGCCTACCCCAAAGAGCCAGCTCCTGGGGGCTGCAGAACGAGAGGGTCCCTGTTTACCTGAGACCTCACTGCCCCTCTGAGAGCGGCAGGGCCCAGCCCGGGGTTCAGCACGCCTGCAGACAATGTAGCCCCGGCCCTCGGCCTTGACCCTTTCCCCAGGGGCAGGTTGTGGGTTCTCGCCTCTGTGGTGGAGATGCAGGATAGCCCTGGGCAGCTGTGGTGCTTCCCTGGGTCCTGAGGGCCCCGTCTGGCCTGGTTTGCAGCCTCCCGCGTGGCAGCCCGGGGGCCTTGCTGGGGACGGCTCATGCCTAGGGCCCAGTGTTCCCTTTGCTCGGTGTGTGCTTCCTCAGGGGGCAGTCTGGTGGCTGAGCCCCGGCCGCCCCCGCCCCTGCTGCCCTTGTTGTCTGGTTTTGCTGGACTGAGGGTCTCGTCTCCGCTGCCCGTCCTCCATGCCTTCCCAGGAGCAGGAAAGCGCAACGTGCCCTCTCTGCATGCCTCCTGGCACATCAGCTGAGGGGACTGCTGCTTCGGGTGTCTGACACGTTTGTGGAGCTGCCCCTCGGCGAGTGCGCTTGGCCAAGCGTGGCCTCCCCTCAGGGTCCCCCGGGCCTCCCAGCTAGTGTGAAGGGCCAGCCGGAAGCCCCGTTTAGGGGACAGCATGCTTTCGGTGTAGTCGGCTGATCGGAGAACAGCGGGGCCTGCTTTTCTGGCAGTAACGTAGGATGGGTCCCGAGAGCATGGGGGTCCGTCCCTGGCGCAAAGTGCAGGCTGCGGGTGGCGGGAGCGGCAGATGCGCCCTCTCCCTGTGTTCTCGAAGCTTGTGGGTGGTGCTTGGAGTCGCTGGCCTTCGTGCTGAGACTGGGCCGAGAGGCTCACTGACGCAGGGGCTCTCGGCTGCTCCGACCACGGCTGGTCGGCTCCTGCCTGCGTCCTTGCACGCTCTGCGGTCCCCTGGGCCCACCCCTCTCCCCTCTGCATCTGGTACCAAGGAGCCATATGTATCTCCACGCCACTGGCTTCTGATGCTCAGAACCGAAGCCCCAGATTCCCACGCTCCCCTCTGTCTCTGCTTAGGACCGTGCTCGGTGTTGTGTGTGCTCCTGGCCTCAGGAGGAAAGGGCATTCTCCTTTGCTTGCTCGTGAGGTGGCTGCTGAGGAGTGGAGCTCGGTGTAGCCAGAGAGGGTGCCCCAGGGCGCTGTGACCAGGTGGCCAGCTGGCTGAGCTCAGCGGACCTGTGAGGACTTAAATTCTTAATCTCCTAATTCATAGCGAGGCCCCTTGAGCAAGCGTGTTTCCTGGAGAAGGCGCCGCCTCTCTGTCCCCCTCAGACTCCTCCGGCCCCTTCCACGTGAGTGGCCACGGCAGCCTGGGCCCTTGTGGGTCCACCTCCTGTGTGGCTTTTGTGCGGTGGTGACCACAGAGGCCCACTCCACTCTGGAGATGAACCAAGAAGGGTTGAGTGTGACCAGGAGCCAGTGGTGTTGTGGGGACAAGGTGGACTTCTCTCTGGTTTGAGCCTGAGCCTGTCCTGGAAGTCAGAGCCCCTGCAGGCCCCCCTCTAACCACGCTGGGTCGCTGGTGTCTGATGCCCTGCGTGGTCCTAGGTGGGGTCATTGCACTCAGGCAGTTTTCTTCCCTGCTGCCCAGCAGGCGTGGAAGGGTCCCATGGTGCATGCTTCAGACCTGGGGTGCTGTGTGGCAGGCCGTCTTCCTGGACCGTGAGTTCGTGGTCATTCTACAGATTGCAGAATTGAGGAAGGCCATGTCCATTTAGCTCTTGGCCTCCTTGGCTTCCTGTCTGCATTCTTTGTCTCAATTCCTGCCTGGCAAGTTCTTGGGACCCACTTAATGAGTATGTGTAGGAACAGGCCAGAGAATGAGATGTGCACCCGCGGGGGTGTTTTCCCTGTAGGAGACCTCACTTGGCCTGGACTCGGTCCGTCAGCAGGTGATACAGCAGCAGGGTGGGCCCGGATGTGGCCCGCTGTGTGTGGCCCCCCATGCGTGGCCCTGGGGCCTGCTCCCCCTGTCTCATCCTCAGGGGCTCGCTCTCCAGTGGCCCCGCTGGTGCCTTCTGTAGACGGGGCCGTGTCTGCCGAAGGAAGGGGTTCCTGACTGTTTATCAGCATGAAGGCCGTCTGCTCTTGTGGGGCTCTTGCTGGATTTACTTTGAGTCTGCTGGTCAGAACAGGGTCAGGTACGTAAACTCCTTCCTGGAGAAGACCACGCTTAGCCGACAAGAATGTTCTAGGAGCCTCTGTGGGGCTGGAGGAGGAGTCTCGCTTCTCTTGGGCAGGACGCCAGGGAGTTGGCCCCGTGTGATGGGCACTGCCTGGTGACCACCTGCACAGGCACATGCTGGAGTTGGCTGCCCAGGGCTGCCGGCTGTCTTTGGTTCCTTCAAACGTCTGGAACTTTCTGAGTCGTGTGGTTGGAGCCCTTTCTCTACATTTCCTGCCTGAGACACAGGTCTGGCTGCTGCGTTTTGAGGACGGAGGTGAAGGGAGGGGCGTCCTCATCAGGGTGTGGGTCTCCCCGAGTCCCCTGGGTAGGCACCCCCTCACCTGTGTTCCACTTTCTGTGTGCCTGAGTCCGAAGCTGCTGTTCCAGGTGATCAAGGGAAGGCACTGTGCGTCCCGGAGGCCCTCTCTGCCCAGCCTGTGACCCCGCCCCCTGCTCCCTCCGCCTGCAGCCGCAACCTTGCCTGAATGCGCTCTCCCTCGCCCGGAGATGTGTAGAGAGCCTCCCGTGTTGTGTGTGTCCCGGCTTCATCCTCTGTCCTGACTCCTGTCTGGGCTGCCGTCCAGGGCTCTGCAGGCGCTGTGGGTGATGCCTCTGCTAAGTCCGTAACGCACAGGGCCCTCCCTTCTCTCAGGAAGCCCTGCGTGCGGTGTCCCGTGCTGCCTGAATTCCAGAAGCACGGCCGCAAACCACAGTGGAAGCCGCAGCACCGGCCGCACACCTCAGGGCTCCTGCCTCGTGTCCCTGGCTCTCTGCCTCTTCAGCCTCCACGTGCTCATGCCTGGTCTCTCCGGCCACGTCTCCAGGGCGGTCAGATGCCCACCTCTGAGGGTCTCATCTTTGTGACCTTGTCTTGGGCTGACAGCTGGGGGAGCCTAGGGAAAAACCCCTGTTAATCTCTTTCTGGGGGCTCACTCTGGTCGTTGAGGTGGATGGTCGGTGGCTTATTCTAAATTGTATTTTCCCCTTTATCTTCAACCTGTAAATATACCTTTAAAGTCCTTTTAATGTCTGTAGTTCATTGATTAGAACTTCTTCCGTTAAGGAGAAAAAAGTTACTGCCCCTAAAATGGTGTTTTGGGGGGACAGTGGAGCAGTTTTTATAAGAAGGCAAATTGGTGACTGAAATTCTAGGTACACAGGACGGTTTAACCACTCGGAAGGCATTCCCCAGTGAGGAGCAGGGGTGGGACTGGGAACAGGCTTCGGCAAGCCCCGGAGCATGTGCGGGAGGGTCGGTGGGTGGCGTGGCCAAACAGAAGGTTCTGAAAAGACGGACCATGGCCCCGGGGAGAGTCCTCTGCCAAAGCAGGGGCGACCCTTGGCCCCTTCCAGCTCTGCTGTGTATGCTTCTTTCAACCACAAAAGCCATTGGTGTTTAATGACCCGCCAGTGGCCTGGACTTGCATGGTGGGTACTTTTATAGAAAGCCCTCCTCTCTCCCCTCTTGCAGACGGCTGAGACCCTGCAGCCCACCCTGCAGCCTGAAATGCAGCTCGAGCACGGAGCCATCCAGATCCAGTAGGTGGGACAGGCCACCCACCCACGACAGGACCTAAGACGGGGCCATGGCCGTGCTCAGCGCCGGCTCCAGCCAACCGCCCCGTTCTACGCGCGCCCTGGCCCCACGGCTTTGCACGGAGGTGACTGCACGTGTTCCGTTCAAGTGCGTCTGAAAGCCTCCCCCGTGGGGGGAGTGTCCCGCTCAACAGAAAGGTGCCAGTAACGGCCACCACCCCTCCAGAAGACCCTTCCTTTTGAGTCCCACTGTCAGCGTCCAGAGAAGGAGTGGGGAAGCACAGTGTGGATTGCATTAAGTACGTGCGGAAAATCAAGAACTACAATATTTTTCTCTGTTCAAACAGCTTTTTTTAATTTGCTATGGTGTTTATAACAAAAAAGAAAATTGAAAAAAAAAAAGTGGAGTAGCAGAAGCCTTTTGCTGTGTGCTCTGTTCCGTGTAATGAAAATAGGTATTTGCAAAAGACAACTAATGATTTTGATGGAAATATTGCTTACCTACTTTTCTAGGGGGAAATGCTCACAACACTGTTAATTATGCATTTCTAATGAAATAAAATGTATTTATGACCACAGCAGCTTCGTGTCATTTCCCTGAAGAGATGGTTTGCCTCGAGGCCGGCCTCCTTCCTGGTGGCTGCTTGGGCCTCACCCCATGGGCCCTTTCAGCCATGTTGACAGGAGTTGTGGGGTGTTTTCCCAAGGAAGGCTGTGGCTGTTTCTCCCGGTCCCATGGAATAGGCCGTGGGAACGGCTCCCCGGGTCGCCAAGCGCTGTACCACGGCGTGCCCTCAGACGTGGGCACCCCTTGAGACAGTGTGAGCATGGCTCAGTGTTGCAGGAGCTCCCGCAGGCAGACCCTGAATGACACGGGCCTCTCCCAGTGCCACAGTCACAGCTTGGGGTCCTTGGGGGAAGTCACATCCATAGACGTACGCCGCATCCTGTAAAATTTTGAGAAGAAAGGTAGTTCCACACCAGCGTCCCGGAGGTGGTTTGCATGACGCGCGCCCAGCAGTTTCTGGTCTCCCTGTCTGCTCTGTTGTGGCAGTTACGTTGGTGGGGTCTGGGGGTTTCCCACCACAAAATTGCATTCACTGACTTAGACTGTGAGCTCAGTGCTTTCCCTGGAAAGGATTCAAAGTTGCTATCCCAAACAGTCACACCTCTCCATGCCACGCCGTTGGGGGTCGCCGGGCTGGGTGGTTTACACCGGGGCCCGCTGACGGGGGATGGCACCTCTGTGTCCCGTGCCTCCATCTGCCCTCCACGGGTAGGGGCTGTTCTCCCGTAGGTGGAAATGGCTGGAATCCCAGAAGGAGAGAAGAGAATATCACGTTTAAGGGATTCCAGAAACAGATCTCAAGTAGAAAGAAGAAAAATCATGCCTGAACCCCCACACCGCATTGAAGGCAAGGCTAATTCTGAAAGCAGCCAGAGAGAAAAGACAGCCCCCGGGCAGGGGAGGGACTGTAGCAGAAGCACAGCCGAATGTTCTGCGGCCTCAGAAGTCAGAAGCACAGGCTTGTGCCAACAAGGCACTGAGAGAAGGACGTTTTCACCTCCTGCCCAATCGGATGCTCAGGAAAACTGAAGGTTGTTCGGGAACGTTTGGGACAGTTACCGTCGAACCCAGCATTTCCACTCCTACGTGTAGGGTATACACCCACAGACGTTGAAAGCACGTGCCCACGCATAAACTTGTACACAAATGGGCATTGTGGCATCATTCGTATTAGCCCAAAAGTGGAAACAACCAAGTGTCTGTCCGAAGATGAATGGGTAAACCAAATGTGATCTTTCCATCCAGACGTGGAATATTATTCGGCCGTAAAAAGGAGTGAAGCTCCAACACAGGCTACAGCACCGATGGATCTCACAAGCCTCATGCTGAGTGAGAGAGCCTGTGTACTCTACAATCCCGTTGCTGGGAAATGCTCGGAACAGGCCAGTCCGCAGAGGCAGCGAGCAGAAGCACATCAGGGGGCGCAGGGGCGAGGCAAGGAGAAGTGGGGAGTGACTGCTCACAGGGCGGGGTTTCCCGTGAGGTGGCCAGCGTTAAATGATGGAATTTTGGCCCAACCAAAATTTTCGAATTTTGGAATAAAATGATGATGTTGGCCCAGCTCTGTAAATATACTAAAAGTCATTGAAATAAACACTTCTTAAAAGGATGACTAATTTTTGGCATATGAATCCTATCTCAAGGTTATTAAAAATAAAGGATGACACTTCAAAAACATTTTATAGACAAAATGAGTGTCACCTGCAGATGATCCCTCCTGTGAAGGAAATTGCAAGGAATTTTCTTCAAGAACAGGAGTGTGGATCCAGGAGGAGGTTTTAAAGGAAGAAGGATGGATGAAACAAAACAAACAAGTATGTCTAAGGGCTGTGCCTAAAACTGTCTCATGCTGAAATTTTCAAATACAGTAAGATACTGGAAAAAATTACGTTGTCAGTTGGGACCGGCAGGAAAGAGCTAAATTGTTTTAAAGCCCCTTTTTATTGCCCTGGAGAAAAGGGATCAAGATACTGTACAATTTCAAGGCGTCACGTTTGATATCCTTGACAAGCGTTTTAAGAAATGCAGTACGTAGAAATCGTTAAGGTGGAGGATATGTGAACGACGTGGTGAGCTGGGCCTAACCGACATGCGGAAGGCCGCGTCCAGCAGCACAAGTGTGCAGCCTTCCCATGGGCTCTTTGGAACGTTATCAAAGTTGGCCTCGTGCCAGATCATAAAGATGGTCTCCCACAGACATCAAAGGCCTGAGACCCTGCAGACCACACTCTTCGACCAAGTGGGTTTAAGTTAAAAATTAATGAAAAAAAAATGAGTACATTTGCAAATGTTTGCAGATTAACGGACTTTTAAAATAACCCGTGGGCCAAATAAAATATCAAAATGGAAAGGTATCTTTAATTACCAATTAAATATGACAGATCAACATATCAAAACTTGTGGAATACGTCGAAAGTTGTGCTTAGAAAAAATTGGTTTCCTTCGGACACATTCCCAGAAGTGGGACTGGTGGGTCGTTTGATAGTTTTGTTTTTCATTTTTTGAGGATCCTCCGTAACGTTTTCCTCGGTGGCCGCACCAGTTTATAATCCCACCAGCAGGGCACGGGGGTTCCCTTTTCTCCACATCCTCAAACCAAGAGTCTCGGACGCTTAACCGACTGAGTCACCCAGACGCCCCTCATCGTGGTTTTGATATGATTTCTCTAATGGTTAGTGATGTCAAGCATCTGCCCTTGTCCCTGTTGGCCTTTCATAGATATTCTTTGGAGATATGTTTAATCAGGTCCCTTGCCCATTTTCTAATTGGATTTTTTTGCTTTTGAGTTGTAGGAGTTCTTTCTGTATTTTGGATATTAATCTCTCGTCAGATAGATGGTTTGCAAATATTTTTTTCCCTTTGTGTAGGTTGTCTTTTCACTTTGTTGATGATTTCTTTTGCTGAGCAGAAGGTTTTTAGTTGGAATGTGGTCCCACTGTTTATTTTTGATCTTGTTTGCTGGTGCTATAGGTGTCCCGTCCAGCCAGCCATTACCCATGTCAAGGAGTTTTGTTCCTATGTTTTCTTCTAGGAGTTTCATGGTTTCAGGTCTTATGTTTAAGTTTTTAGTCAGTTTCAAGTTAATTTTTGTGAGTGGTTTAAGATGTGGATCCATTTTCGTTCTTTTGCGTGTGAATACCCAGTTATCCCAGTACCATTTATTGGAGAGGTTGTCTTTTCTCCGTTGAGTATCCTTGAAGGGTGCGCACTCTTGCCACCTCTATTCAACACATTACTGTGAGTTCTAGCCAGAGCAATTAGAAAAATAGAACTAGCATATGACTCAGCAATTCCATTTATGGGAATATATCCAAAGGAAACAAAAACGCTAACTCAAAAAGATAACTGCATCCCCATGTTAATAGCAGCATTATTTACAGTGGTCAAGACATGGAGACTACTTAAGTGTCCGTGGTTGGGTGGGTGGGTAGAGAAGATGTGCTATATATGTATCTACACAGTGGAAATTACTTATTCTGCCATAGAATAAAGGGAATCCTACCATTTGCAACAACATGGGTGGACCCTGAAGGCATTAGGCTAAGTAAAATAAGTCAGAGAAAGACAGATATTGTATGGTATCACTTATGTGTGGAATCTAAAACAAAAGACCAAACTTCCAGAAAAAGAGATCAGACTTGTGGTTAGCAGACGTGGAGGTTAGGAGGAGGGGAAACTGGAGGAAGGCTGTCAAAAGGTACCAACTTCCAGGTATAAGGCAAATCAGTACTAGGGGTGTGATGTATGACACGATGACCTCAGTGAACGCTGCCATATGATACACAGGATGGGTAAGAGAGTAAATCCTAGGAGTTCTCATCACAAGGAGAAATTTTCTCCCTTTTTTCTTCTTTCTTTTTGTTTGTTTGTTTTGTATTTCTATGAGAAGGTGGATGCTAGCTGAACCTACTGTGGTAATTCTTTCACATTATGTGTAAATCAAGCCATCATGCTGTATGCCATATACGGTGATGTGTATCGGTTATTTTTCAGTAAAACTGGAAAAAAGAAGAGTGGGCATCTTTGTCTTGTTCCTGATCTTAGAGAATAAGCTTTTTCACCATTGAGGTGATATTAGCTATGGGCTTGTCACATAAAGCCTTTATTAAGTTGAAGTATGTCCCTTCTGTAACCTATTTGTTGAGACTTTTTACCCCCGAGAGGACGTTGTATTTTGCCAAATGCTTTTTCAGCATCTATTGAGGTGATCATACGATTTTTATTCTACATTTTATTAACATGGTATGTCATGCTTATTAATTTGAATCATCCTCGTATCCTCACACTTGGTCATGGTGTATGGTTTGCCGGTATTTTGTCGAGAATTTTCACATCTACAGTCGTCTGGGCTATCAGCTTGCAGTTTCCCTTTCCTGTGGTGTCTTCATCTGGCCTTGATATCAGGGTAATACTGGCCTTGTAAAATGAGTTTGGGAGTTTTCTCAAGTTTTTTGGAAGAGCTTGAGAGGGATTGGCACTAATTCTTCTTCAAACGTTTGGAAGAATTCATCAGTGAAGCCATCTGGCTTGGGCTTCTCTGCGCTGGAAGTTCAGATGACTGTTTAATGTCCTTGTTAGTGGTCTGTTCACGTTTTATTTCTTTGTGATTTAGTGTGGGAGGTTGTATTTTCTAGGAACTTGTCCCTTACTTCGAGGTTGTCTAGTTGGTTGGCACATTAATGCTCCTAGTAATCTCGTAGGATCCTTTGCATTTCTGTAGTATCAGTAGTACTGGCTCCTCTTTCATTTCCAATTATATTTGAGTCTCTCCTTTCTTCTCAGTCTAACTAACGTTTTGTCAATTTTGTTTATCTTTTCAAAAAAACAGCACCAGGGTGCCTGGGTGGCTCAGTTGGTTAAGTGACTGCCTTCGGCTCAGGTCATGATCCTGGAGTCCCGGGATCGAGTCCCACTTCGGGCTCCCTGCTCAGCAGGGAGTCTGCTTCTCCCTCTGACCCTCTTCCCTCTCATGCTCTCTATCTCTCATTCTCTCTCTCTCAAATAAAT